TGTATGTGGCAAAGAACAGTTTGCCTGCAAAAGCTGCCTGAAGGAATTCTTCTTTCCCCCTTCCCCCTTCCCCCCGCCCCCGGGGATCTTCACCTGGGATTAGTTAGGTATTGGTTGGCAGAGAGGTGATCATATGCATGCGATAACCAAGTCCGCCCCCATACAATTAATCAGTCTATTAGTTTATTAGTTAACGAATAGTTACGGGTCATCTTATTAAATATTGCTTCTCCCTCCCCCGCCCCCCTGTCGATGGCCTGAGGTTGAAGGTTAGTTCAAGTTAGGTTGGTTGTTTAGCCCATCTGCGGCCCCTCCAAAACCCAACCAACAGCATCTTCAATCTGGAATCTTCAACGACAAAAAACCCTCCATCTCCAGCAAACTCACTCATTTTCTCAATAACGCCCCTCCCACCGATGCTACATCACGGCGGTGGTGCAGCTCCTGTTGCCTAAATATCATTCACTCGACTCGACTCGGGGTGGCTGGGTCGCCATCACTCACTCTCGCTCGACCCCCTCTCATTTATCTTTCTTGCGGCCTGACAGACAGATAGGACAAGCACTTCCTCGAGCCTACCACTCATTTCTCGTTCAGCCATCCGGAATTACAAAAGGCAAAAAAAGAACAGGAAAACCCCCGGGAAAAAGGAAAGGGAAAAAAATTAACAAGGAAAGAGGAAAAGAACCACAAAAGAATAGAACACCCCACTGGGACACCCAAACGATGGGTGACTCCTTCAAAGCCAGAACGCTGAAACGAAAGAACGTCAAGGGGCTGGCTCTAAATGCCCCAGCGCCAAAGACCGGTTCGAATACGTCGGACGGAGATGCTCAGGTACCCGGAGCTATTGGCAATGTAGAGAGCATCCGGACAGACACTCTCGAGATCGGGTTGGAGTTTAAGCTTGATCTGAGGAGCGAGGACTTGGTGGTTCTGAAGGAGCTGGGTGCTGGCAATGGAGGCACCGTCAGCAAGGTCATGCATGTGTCGACGAAGGTTGTTATGGCTAGAAAGGTATGTCTTTTATTTTATTTTTATTTTTATTTTTATTTTTATTTTTATTTTTTTTTTTAATTCACCCTCTTCTCTCCTTCCTTTCGGAAGTTTCTTGGGTGATCAGATCTAATTGCAGTCTCATTTCGTTTGTCGGTTAGGTTATCCGGGTAGACGCAAAAGAGAATGTGAGAAAGCAGATAGTTCGGGAGCTACAGGTCGGCCATGATTGCAATTCGCCATACATTGTGACGTTTTATGGTGCTTTTCAGAACGAGGCCAGGGATATTGTACTTTGCATGGAGTATATGGATTGTGGGTAAGTGCTGCAGGTTTTTTTTTTTTTTTTTTTTTTATATGTATATATAACAGTCTACCAGCGTAGATGGGGGCGGGAGGAATAAAAATAAAAGATAAAAAATAAGAAAACCATGTTCACTAACTCCTTTCCCCCTCTCGCATGAAGCTCTCTCGACCGAGTCTCAAAAGACTTCGGCCCAGTCCGTGTCGACGTCCTCGGAAAAATCGCAGAATCCATCCTGGGTGGCCTAGTATACCTCTACGAAGTCCACCGCATCATGCATAGAGACATCAAGCCCTCCAACGTCCTACTGAACTCACGAGGAAATATAAAACTTTGCGACTTTGGCGTAGCTACGGAGACCGTCAACTCGATAGCAGACACCTTCGTTGGCACGTCGACATACATGGCCCCCGAACGTATCCAGGGAGGTGCCTATTCCGTGCGTTCAGATGTGTGGAGCGTCGGCTTGACCATCATGGAATTGGCCGTGGGACGCTTTCCCTTTGACTCGACAGATTCTGCAGCGGGTGACCGCGCAAGCGCAGGCCCAATGGGAATTTTGGACCTGCTGCAGCAAATCGTGCATGAACCGGCACCAAAGCTGCCCAAGAGCGATGCTTTCCCGCCTATTCTTGATGACTTTGTGGCCAAGTGCCTGCTCAAGAAGCCTGAAGAGCGCCCAACTCCCCGCGAGCTCTACGTAAGCCAGCTACACACGAAATGAACCCCCCTCCTGCTACGTCTTTATATGCAATACATACTAACATCGCCCCACGCGAAACAGGACAAGGACGCCTTCCTCCAAGCCGCCAAACGAACCCCCGTCAACCTGCGCGAATGGGCAATCAGCATGATGGAACAGCACAACCGCAAATCCTACCTTGCCCCGCCAGCGCCCAAATCCATAAACCGCGACGGCTCACGAGACTCCATGTGCCACCCGCGAACCGCAGAACCCTCCCCCGCCCCCCGCTTCACACCCACCTCAGGCGAAATACCGCTAAACATCACCCGCGAACCCCTGAACAGCAGCGGCGGACTACGAGTGTACTCAGATCCCATGTCCGCCATGGAGCCCTCGCCAACCGTGGGCTTCGAACACCTCTCGCTAGACGGCACGAGCCAGTACCACCCGGACCACCACGATCTGCATAAAGCGCTCAACAATCACAACAATCCTCATCACCCCAACGGGAACGGCTCTGCCAACCCCGCCTCGGCACGCCAACAGTACACCAAGAGCTACCCAAGCATCGACACGTCTGTGCCGCAGCATGCATCGCCCATGTCTGCGTCTGCAACGATGACGCGGGCTGCTATACAGTCAGCGACGTTGCCGTCGAGAGTGGCCCCGCCACCCTCTGGTCCGCTGCCTGCGCCTCCGGGCTCAGCGGGCGCGGCGGGGTGGCGGTCGCACAGTCATCGGGTATGAGCTGTGGGTATCTGGCGGTGTGGGATTGGAATTGGATTGGGAGAGATGGGGAGAGAGGGGGTGTGGGGTGTGGATTTGGATATGAGTGTGTGTACTTTGGCCATGGGTGTTTTTGGCGTATTGGCATGGATGATCGCTATTCTGGATGTTTTTTTCTTTCTTTTTCTTTCCCTCTTTTCTCTGATGATTGATGTGGTATGAGTGGGGAGTGAGTGTCTCTTGCTGTACTGACGTTATTTGTGATTGCGACTGTCGTTGTAAAGAGGGAGGAGAACTTCTGCAGATATTATGCACATGCAACGCTGCTTTACACGAGGAAGAGATCGAGAGCATGTGGAAGAACAAAACGGCAAATGCAGCTGAGGAATGTGTGAGATGCAGATGAACATGCCATAGGCTTCTTCAGGCAATGTTTAGAAAGGAGGTGAACGGAGTGGCAGAGATCCATAGATGTTGCAGCAGACAGCAGACATCAGTCAGACCTTGAACAATTTCCAGGCATATTTATCTCATGTTCATTTTCCTTTTCAAGATCAAAATAATACCAATGCATTCACTTGTTAGGTATCCCCATGAATCAACGGAACCATCCCCCTACCAAACAAAACCGGACCTGCTACTGCTGCTGCTGCTGCTGCTACCAATACTGCTACTGCTACATTCCTCCGACACCGACATACCACAACTATCCGCACCCGCCGCCTTTCTCCCTCTCTCGGTCGACCCGGACTCAGCCCACGCCCATCCAACACCTCCCCATCCAGTTCCTCAGTTGCAGGCCCTTCCAGGCGCCCTCCGGAAAACCCTTATCAGATGCCCATCCAAATCTCAATTTTGCCCTGTGTCGTTTTCTTTCTTCCTTTGGTTGCGCCCCGACCCAAAACCCCAAACACGCACCCCCCCCCCCCCCCCACACACAACACACACACACACACAAAATTTCATCCCTTGCTTTGTGTCTTCAAGCACACCTTGTGACAGACACCTGGAAAGGCTGGGCTTCCGATTCTATCGATTTGGCCCTTCCCCCTCTTCTCCGTTTCGTCTACTGCGAGCCCGTCGTCTAAGTCCTAAGTCCCGTTTTTCCTCGTCGAGAGATAAATCGTATTTCCCCCAACTATATGCGATACGCGAAAATAGGAGGACGGGGGAATTTGGCACTGGCTTATGACTGACCTCCTGCATATAGAGCTAAGATACATTATACATTCACAGCACGGCAACGTTTTTGTGCGCTTTGTGCGCTGCGCTGCTTCGTCCCCTTCTGCAACAGCCATGACATCTACATTATCATCTCCAGCGCGCCCAGGCACAGCTCGCTTTACTGCTGACACCGCATGTATGCGTATTAGCCTGCATTCCATCCGACTCTCTGTTTCGAATGTTGAGGTTGCCCGAATTTCCCTCTCCCCGCCTGGACGGGTCGAGCAAGTCCGAAGCGCGCACGGATTTTTCATTCCATTTTCTGTTCTTTAAAACTGGGGGCCTGCCATCTGCTCAGGCGCGTGATAACTATATAGTTTATGTAAGGTAATAGCAATGGGCACTGTGACCTGTGGGAACATGAATGATATATATATTTATATATATGAACAATGTCCTCCGTGGATCGAGGCAAAAAATGCGATATAAACTGAATAACACGCTCAAGCCAGCCCCTATGGGAACTTCCAGCTTCTCATTTCATATAGAATGCGTCCCATGGAGGATGCAGTGTGCATGTAGTAGGTGTATATCTAATATATATATATATATATATATATATTTGGAAAAGAGGTAGAAAGGAGAGGAAATGCCACGGTTAGTTTATAAAAGGAGTCTTGATAAATCGGGGATTACTGTGCCCGGGTAAAAAACAACCCGAATATATATAAGTGGTTTAAATCGCCATCCTGCATTTATGCAAAGGAAAAAAGGGAGGGGATATGCAGATCTAACAAAAGCGTAAATATGGTTGTGAAACGCTGGCAATTGACGTATTGGAAATGGGGCGGAAGGGGGTAAAGGAGATAGGATGCATGAATGTGGAGGATACTGTGAATAACTAGGGATGGACCTGAACAGAGAAAAAGTTAAAACGAAATCCATCTCAGCCGACGAACCGAAAAAGGCAAGCGATCACGCAAAGAAAGCAAGACAAGTCAGGATAAGAAGAAAGGCCAAGCAAAAAACCATAGACATAGAAATCTACATCACACCAGCAAATAGAAGAAATAAAAACGAAGAGAAAAGCAGAAGGAAAAGAAAAGAAAATGAGGGGGCCACCACTCAATAAGAAAACGCCTCCATCATCTCCCCGCCAATCCTCCCTCCCTTCCTCCCCTCACCACCACCACCACCACCACCACTGCCCCCCGCCCCCGCCCACTTCCCCCGGCCTCCCCCAACCGGCCTCATCATAACAGGCAAACAATCCAACACGCCCCTATCCCCCTCGAAGTAATGCGACACAAACCCCCCCCTCAACAGCCTCCTGAGCGCCGCAAGCCTCAACCACTTCCACCACTTATCAAGCCTCATGACGCTATCGCGATGGATCTTCACCGTCTTCCGGCTCCCGTACTGCCGACACGTCTCATTGTCGATGGCCTTGCTATACTGCGGCCCACGCCGGGGATTGGCGATGGTGTTCAGGATCGAGGTGAAGTTGGCGTGCAGCGAGCGTTTGGATTTCTTGTTGATATGGCGGCCGGATATGTGGGCTAGCGTGTTGACCTGAGTGAGGATGCGGGGCGTGTTGTGGTACGGGTTGTAGCGTTTGATTAAGCGTTTTTCTTGATTATTGCCGCTGCCTCTATCGTCGTCGTTGTCGTTGTCGTTGAAGCCGTCGGATCCATCAGCATCCGAGGAACCGTTCCCATCTCCGCTTCCTGCCTCCTCAATAACCTCCCCTTCAGCAAGAGGCGAATAACTCTTCTCGTACAACAACGCGATATTCTCCCCCGCGGCAATCTGCACGGAGCTCTCACTGCTCTCTAACTGCTCTGCGAAGACCTCGATGGCCTCCTCGCTTTCATTCTCCAAATCCTTCACCTCCGTGGCGAGGAAGCCCCACTCTTCCAACGCAGCCGTAACGACTTCAGCATCATCGCCCGCATTCACATAGTGGCCATCGGACGAGACGATCTCCAGCAGGAAGGTCATTTGCTCGAGTAGGCCATCCTCGCCCGCCCCGCCAAAGTATGTCGAGGCACCTAGACAGTGTATCGCGGCCGCCTTGATGGCTGAGGACGAGGAGTCTGTGATCGTCCGTTTCAAGACCGGAGCTATGCGTGCATATATGCTCTCATCGAGCAGGGTGAGTGCGGAGAGGCTGACGGCTTTCAGGGCAAGCATGGTTTCCTTCTCTGAGGATCCAGATTTGATGCTCTTGATGAGCGAGGAGAGGAGGTCGGGGAAGTGGGGGATGCCGTCGTCGATGTAGTGGGAGGTGAGGATGCGGACGTAAGCGGTCAGGTTCTCTTCGCGGCTGAGGACGCTGCTGCGTTTGCGGTCTGTGAAGTCTCTTATGACTTCTGAGAGGTCTTGGAGGGTGTCTGCCGAGGTTGATTCTTCGTCGTTGGCGGCGGAGAAGCAGTCGTCGATGGAGGGGGTGCTGGATATAATCAAGAAAAAGATACCAATGTTAGTGGTGGTGGATGTTAACTCGACGTGGATACAATGAGCAGCGCAGCAGTAGACATTGTAGAAGAGGAAGTAATAATAACAACAACAACAACAACAACAACAACAACAACAACAACAACAACAACAACAACAACAACAACAACAACAACAACGCAACACACCTCCAGGTAGTACTTTCGCTCTCCCCATCTTCGTCGTCATCGGATGGATGCCTGCTCGCATTTCGCGAGGCGGGGCGGGAGTTGTGGGCCGAGTTGGGAGCGGAGTTTACGCGGGAGTTTGTCCTTGACGCTTCGCGGCTCTGTGCCTTGCGGGACACGGTCTTTTTGCTCTCCAGAGCCTGGCGACGGAGGTCCCGCATTTTGATTTACGGTGTTGGAGAAGAAAGAAGAAATGCGGGTGGGACGTGGGAGATTAGAATGGGGTGGTATGACGCCTCTTGCTCGTTTTTGGTGATGGGTAGAACCGGGCAAGAGATAAGAGAAGCCAGCCCGGTGTCTTACCGGTCGAGAATGCAGGGTGAGTGAGTGAGTGAGTGAGAGAGAGAGAGAGAGAGAGAGAGAGAGAGAGAGTGTGTGTGTGTGTGTGTGTGTGTGTGTGTGTGGGGGTGGGTGTGTTTGTGGGTGTGTGTGTGGGTGTGTGTGTGGGTGTGTTGTGGGTGTGGGTGGGTGGCTGAGCAGGTTGTCTGCGCTGGGAATGTTGAGAGAGGAAACAGAGTGGTTGTCTGTTTCGGTGTTGGTGGCGTGTGCGGGAGGATACGGGAGAAACTCCAACAGGCCGGATATGGCAGCAGCAGTTTATCCCAAGGGCCGGGTCGATCTGTAGAGAAGAAACCGGCAGAGAGAGAGCAGCGCTGGAGAGATGGAGGAGTCCATAAGGCTCAACATGGGGAA